GCGAGGTATTCTATTTCTGATATCGTAGACCTCTTAAGTGTTCGGTCCTCTTTATATTGGATCCTATGCTGCATACATAGGAAACGTACCTTACGATAGGTACGTAGGAATGGTATGATCCTTCATTCCTTTCTTCGGAGCTTCGTATCGTATCGTACGTATCCTTCCAATACAGTACGTACGTATCCGTTGCAAACCTAGTTTTTGCACCGTAGTAATTTTTTTTGGTGCCTTTGTCCTTCAAAAAAAAAAAAGGCGGCGGCCGCAACCAATTTTTTATCAAAACTTTTTGTGATTGGTTCTGATCACATCGGAAAAAAGGGGAGGAAAAAAAATGAAATCGACATGGTTCCTGATACTGTTAGTACGTAGTAGGAGTATTACGAGCATGTATGAGCTGAGAAGTCGTTCCATGTGTAATCTCCATCGTGGGATAAATCATGGTCTGTCACGGTGTCACTGCCGGTACTTTTCAACTTCAACCTCGAAAATTTTCATCAACACTGTATTCGAAATTAGTAAAGACAAGATTTTCTTTCAGAACAAACTGAGAATTTCATCGGAAACACCCCCTACCAACCGGAGGTTCGTACCGCATAGCACTTGCTCGCACTCGTTCTTCTTTTGAGGTTGTCCTGCTATCAAATCTGCCGCTTCGACAACCAGAGAGAGTTCCAGAACGACACCAAAGACCAACAGACAACGCAAAACCAAGTTCCTCACACTGAACACAAATACACTTGACACCATGCTGAAAATAACCACTCAAGCCTTAACAATAGTATTGCTTCGAGCAACTACTCACCATGCTTTCGCTCCCAATTTGCACCGGCATCACGTCGTCGAAAGACTGAATGGGAGAGGGTTGCCGATAGGAGTATTTTCTACCACCCTTTCTGATTCTGAGAGAGATGTTGCCAGTGTCGAATACGGAAGGGGATCTAGTATCGACTATACGATAGCGGAACAGGAAGATTTTGAAGATTTCGTGGAAACAATTACCCGTCAAATCTTAAGCGACGACGACGATGACGAACCATCGACGATATTAACAACGAATATGATTCTATCTATCTTGAGTTATTACAGCAACCTCGAAACTGTCGAGGGGGCCGAAACAATAGAAAAGATATTGAGACGATTGGAAACAGAATCAGGTAACGACGAGAATTTTTATTCACTTCACTGTGGTCATTATACAATCGCTGTCACGGCGTGGTCCAAATCCGGTCATCCAAAGTCGGCCGAGAAGGCCACCCAAATCGTGAACCGTATGAGGGAACTTGATATCAACCTCAACGAAGTCACATACAATACTTGGATGAACGCTTACGTTATCCAAAACGACACAGCCAGGGTGAAAGAGATCCTGCAGGAGATGGAGGAAAAAATTCCAGATAAGATGCGAGTGCAGGACTACAACGTCCTTATTTTAGCTAATAGTCGTCAGGGTCGGGCAAAGGAAGCCGAGCAGATTGTCAAGAAAATGGTTGATAAATATAGTGCAGGGAAATCCTTAGTTTTACCTGATCTTATTTCATATCAAATGTTGTTGGAAGCTTGGTCGAAATCAAACGAAGAAGGACGAGGTGTTCGCGCTGAAAAAATTCTCGACTCGATCGAGGAACGACAAATATCCTATGACAATGCGGCTTGCGGCGATGAAGATTACGACGATCAGGAGTCGACTACTTTTGGTATCTACGTGGCTGCCATGCGAGCCATTATTCACAGCGAAGAAGAAGACATCATTCAACGGGTTGAAAATATCTATGAACGAATTGTTGAGCAGGGACTGATTCCTGACGCACATGTCTATGCGACTTGGCTGGATGCTTATGCGATTGCCCATCCCGCCGATGCGTCGAAGAAAGTTTCCGAAATCCTGGCACTGATGGAAAAAAACCTTGTCGACATCAGTTTTGAGGATGAGATTGTTGTTTACAACACCGCATTGAAGGTGCTGAAGGAAACTCGAGAACCAGATTCAGTCGCTCAAGCTGAGGAACAATTTGAAAAGATGAAGTCAGAGGGAATCGTTGACGAAGTGACCTATGGTACTATGATAGCGTTGCACGCTAACAATAACGGGGGAAATAACATGTCTTCCGCGAAACGCGCCGAAGAATTATTGAAGGAAATGAGCAACGAAAATAGTTTTGAGGCCAGTACCCAGCACATAAACAGTGCAATGAATTCTTTTATTCAAACGGAAGAAATTTCCAAAGCTTCCGATATGCTAGATAAAATGGAAGAAGAATACAAAAATGGAAACCAATCGATGAGACCAAATGTTGTATCTTATGCGACGTTGATGAACGGTTGGGTGAAGTCTGATGATCCCGACAGATCAAAGAAGGCAGAGATGGTATTCGATAAAATGGTCACTATGTTTGAGTCTGGAAACGAAGCTGCCAAACCCAATTTCATCAGTTACGTGACCCTGGTAGATTGCATCGTCAAATCTGGAGAAGTTGGTGCTGCCGAACGTGTAGAGGGCATTGTGAGAAACATGTACGAGGCGTACAAACAAGGAGAGTCTGATGTGAAACCGAACGCTCAACTTATTTCGACTGTTATCAACTGTTGGAGCAAGTCGGGAGACAACAATGCAGGCGAACGTGCCGAGATGGTACTGAACTGGTTGATTCAAATCTACGAGGAAGTCAAAGACCCTGAATTGATGCCTACGGCATTTCAGTTTACATCAGGTACGTATAAATATTGAAAAAAGTAGCGAAATAACGCGAACTGCAGGTTTTGCTAAGATTAGAATTTCGGATTTCATTTGCAAATTCTGACTGTGGAGCGTTGCTCTTCTTTTTCTTTTATCAACAGCCATTACCGCATGGGGAAAGTCCCGAAAGTTTGGGAAGGCGGCCCGTGCGGAAGCCATATTGAACAAGATGAAATCCCTTTACGAATCTGGTGTCATTAAATCACCACCAAACGCATACTGTTACACTGCTGTCATCAACGCATGTGCGTATGCCGAAAGAGATTCCATCGAGAAAAGGGACGCACTGCAGGTATTCGTAAAAACATACAAAGAAATTATCAGCGAAAAAGGCATCGATCCCAACCACATCACTTTTGCGACAGCATTAACGGCGCTACGGAACCTCCTTCCAGCAGACGAAAAGAGAGTCGCTGCAGTGAAAACTGTCTTTGAAAAGTGCACCGAGATGGGGATGTTCGATCACCTTGTTGCAAGGCGATTGCAGTCGATTTTGGACACCGAGCAGCTTAAAGGGCTCGTCGGTGACGACAAGGTCGATGAAAAGGGGGTGATCGACCTGGCACTAATACCTGCAGAGTGGACCCGTAATGTTTTAACAAAACAACAAAACAATAGAAAGGGACCACAGAATAGAAGGTAATTTAAACAAAGCTATCATTATTTATTTTATATTTCTTTCCATTTTCAAGAAGGGCCTGCACCAACGACATGATGAAAGGTAGATTTTGGAAAGTACATTGAAGACTATGAAATGAATACGAATAATATTTAGTTGCGTACCCTTCAGGAGATATTTTCACGAAGGGTATCCTCCAGTTTCCGACCCAGGATTTCACGAAGAACTTGCAGGAATGCTCGACATCTTTATGCCCAGCTATACGCAGAGAACCAACGCTGCCTCGATCGATGCGAATTTGCTACAGGCCCATAGCTAAGCTATTCCCCAGTATGTTCACCTAGGACATACCCTACATGTCCACTTACCTTGTACTTATTCTATTTTACTGAGGGATCACAAGACTTACTATTTTTAGAGGCCTACTTAATCATACTTCACCACGATAAGTATTAAGTTTTSCATGGCATCATCGAACATTCCATTAGTTCTTTTGTGCGGCATTGATGTTATCAGAGTTTAACTTTTAATCAGTAAGTCGTCCCCAAACGTCCCAAAACTGTTTTAAAATGGATACCGTATTGTGTCCTTTACAACGAGACGATATGAAAACACGTCTCGGTGACACTCTGGATAAATCTCTGGTTATTGGAAGCGTCGTTCTTTTGAACCCCGAACGACGTCGCCACATGTTTCTCTCTCGAGGCCCCTTCAGTGCCGAAACAGATTTCTTGACACTGGGCTTTCGTTGGCACTTGGTATTTCTATCGTATTTGTAGGGTGGAACGGGGAATAGGAAATTTTACGATTTAAAAGGCGCCGTGGTGGTTGATCTCCCGGTCCACACGAGGAGTAGCGGTACTATAAACCATTTTTGTWTCTTCTTTGGTGAGCTCCCAACTCCACCCCTGTAATGCTTCTAATTTTTTGATTCGCTCCCCCTCCATGGTTCCATTTGCGCTCTTGTACTCCCTACGTTGATTCTGGACCCAAGTTGCCAAAGATGCTTCGGATCCCTGTGTTACGTCACAGTTCCCAAATTTCTTTTGGTATTCCACTAATTGATAGTATTTCTCGTACCATTGCAGGTTGTCCGCTCGAGTGTCGGCGGCATCAACACCATCTCGAGCGTCGGCACCACCTACACCATCTTTTCGAAACCGCAGTTTCCCCCAACTCCACCCCTGCAATGCTTCTAACTTTTTAATGCGCTCATCGGTCATGGTGGTGAGTCCGTTCTTGTATTCCCTTCGTTGACGCTGGGTCCATTCTGCCAACGACCGATCAAATTTTGTTATCACGTCGCAGTGTCCAAACTTTTTTTGATACTCCACCAATCGCAGGTATTTCTCGTACCATTTCCCATCGATGCGGTTCCAAACGAAATCCAGTTTGTTCAACAACAAGATTTTGCACGGTGATAATTTCCCATCTTTTAGATTGTTCCGTTGGCGTTTGACCCACCCCGATAGTTGCTTGTTTGGGTCGGATCGCAGAACATTCGAATTACCATGAATGGAATGATACTTTACGAGAGTTTGATAATTCCATCTCCATGTTGCTTCTACCATCCGCACGTTCAGCACCGGCTGCGCTTCGTCTCTGGAGTCTCCGAGCTTGGTCTTGAACACGTTCCTCTTCTTGAAAGGAAAAGAGAACTTCTTTTTGCTCTGGACTGTGATCTTGTTCTTCTCCTTGACACTAGTCTTCGAAGGCAAGGGATGATCCTGGAGTATTTCGCTCTCTGGTTGGGACGAGGATGCACTGCTTAGTTCCTCCGAATGAGATGTCTCCCCGGCGTCGGGTTTGCAGCTTTCTTCCTTGGCTGCCGCAGCCGCTGCCAGTGCGAACAAGGGGCAGCCGAGAAACGTACGGGGGTGCTCGCTAAAAGGAGCGGATCGATTCTTCACAGAGACCCCACCATCGACATCAGAGTCACCGTTACCAACGATCGTTTTGCCCCTACTGTTTTCGCTCTCGATGGGGTTGTGCAGGTTCATAGCCACCGGCAAGGCAGCCTCTGTTTGCGTTGTTTGGTCGTCATCTTCGGTTGCTCTGTAGTCATCAATCATTTTGGTATTTCTTGGATCGATGTGCGTCGACCCCATGGTGGTGGTTGCCYTGTTTTTAAGGTCGCTGTGCATCGGTGAACAGAACGTCCCTTCTTGCGTTTACGAAAACTGATTTTCCTTCCAGAAGATACCAACATGTTCCAAAAATCGTGCCCCTTCCGCTCTAGCACGCAAACGGCCTTTTCGGTGGAATCCTCCTACGAAAGGTACGAGTAATGTGGCAGTAGAGTAATAGGAAAAAAGGGAAGACGAATTCTCGGAAGTGAAAAAAGGCGTGGATTGATATAATTAAAGTATGTTTACTTTTACTTCCTACTGAGCGAGATCAGTTTTTTCCTACGTTACGTACTCGTATTACGTACCGGTAGGAGTTGCTAGTACCGCTTGAGTGCCAGTTAGTTGTACGTGCACTCGTACTCGGAAGCTGTACTTGTTAACGTAGTTGCGATACCGTAAGGTACAAACGAGCAGGAGTACTCGTACTCGTACCATCGAATCATGGTAAGAAATAAGAAAAGATCACACTACCGGTACGAGTACTGAAAAGTACAGAGGTTAAAAACAAAAAATATCGTTTTGTGTCATCGACAGTGGACAGTCGTGCCGACCGCCGACAGCAAACCGTTGGACTGGGCTATGAGCTACGAGTACGAGTAGCTTACAGTACCGTATGAACTGTGAACTAGAAGTATGAAGAGACATGGATACAAACGTATGAATACGGTTTTACGAGTGTACCTTAGGTAATRGTAGTTCGTACTCTCATAGCTCAAAATTCATGATTATGGATTATGTGCATAAAGTACCCAGTACTTGGTACTCGTACCGGTACGGGTGTAATCATACTCCTACTAAAGTCCTGTAGGATTTATACTGCAGTCTACACGGATTCAAGAAACTGTAGAATAACTTCTTGAAAACTGAGAAAAATTTCAACCAGAGGGGGCCGGGCAGGGCAGGGCAGGGCGGAGTCGAGAAATTGGAACTTCATCACAGTACTTGATGATGCTATTGGAGCCCGTGTCGACTTGCGTTGTGTCTGGAGTTCGACGAGGGAAACAATGGTAGTTTGGCAACAAGCTGCAAATTGTCAGAGGGCCTTTAGAGTGGACTAAGCTTTTGTTTGCCATGCCGCCACCGCGACGCGGTTCGAACCTAGCTGGCCGGTCTCGCGACATCGTCTCCCAGGTGGAAGACAAGCTGAAGCTGGGCGCCAAATTGCCCGCTTGCCTTTTGGAATCGACCCGGTCGTCGCTGCGCGTGTTGAAAATACGAAACCCCGTTGGGAGTTTTGGCAGGTACGACAATGACACAAAGCGCGCCTGTGCCTTGTTGGAGTACGACGTTCGCGACTACAACAAGAACCACGGCGACGGCGATGAAATCGAAATCACCATGGAAAAACTGGCCAAGGCGGCCTTTATGAAGCTGAAGGACTTTCGCGACTTTCACCAGAAGATTGGGAATTTCCGGGACAACCTCCGCTCACAGGCTGCCACCAATCCGACCGGGGCCACCGGGAAGAGACCCGTCGCGGCCGGCGCAAAGCTAAATGCCGCCAACAAGGCCGGCAAGAGTGGCAACAAAGGAGAGACTCGCATCATCTTTCGCGACAGCTCCATTTCCTCGCTGGCCATTCGGTTGGGGGCATTTGTTCCAAACTCGAGCGACGTGGCGGTTCGAGCCCAGAAATTCTTCTGGGACGCGGTCGGTCACCTGAAACAGAAGTCGAAGAAAGGAGGAGTGCACGGATTGCGGGACATGCAACGAAACCAGGCCTTGTACGAAGCGGCTTGTTTCTACCTGGTTGCGACGTCGGGGACGGAGAGTCGGCCCAAGATCCGTCGCCGCAAGAACAAGCCGCTGGGGGACTCCGGTGACGGCCCGGAGGACAACCAGCAACTCCTGCTCTCCACCTTTCTAGACGTGATCAAGGAGGCTCCCTCGCAATTCCAAACGGTCCTCGATTACGCCAAGAAACTCCAGCTCGAAATCGAACCGCCGTCGAAGGAGCGCGCCGGCAACCGGGGAAAATCTGCCGGGGCTTCCCGACCGCGATCGTCCCCGCGTTCGTCGACGTCCTCGCGAGCGGCCAAACCGGTAGCTCCGGGGAAGCGATCGAGAACGGACGATGCCCCCGGCAACGCCCAAGGCGCTGCCACAAAGCACCCAAGGAGCGTGGACGAACGAGACGCAGCCGGAACCATCGACGTCGCCACCTTTGCCCAATACGAAAACTACGAAAAGAACCACGCCGGATTTGAGGGAAACAAGCCCCGGATGCACACTCCACCCGGGTATCGCCCGAACCCAGTCTTCAAAGAATGGAAGGTCAAGATCCTTGACAGAGCCTGCGAACTGGCCCGACAAAATGCGACCGCTGTAGCGGGGAAAAAGGGCGAYGAGTGCGGAGGGAAAGCGGCATCGCTCGAAGCGGAGTACGTTCTCGATGCGGCGGCAAGAGACGTTCTCGCGAGACACGGATTGCTGTGAAACAAAAGGAGCTCCACCAACCATTGGCCCTGCAGCGTGTAGCCGACAACTACGGACGCTACCAAACGAGAATGGAGAAATACGGCATTATCTGGATACAGCAACGCAACGTTTGGCATAGAAAAATAGGATGTTTGGGGGTAACAAACCGTAGCTAGAATGTTCTCCGTCGCGTCTGTTTTGTGTCTTGTTTTGTAATAGATGGTGCTACGCAGGCGTTTCGAATTCGAGGAGGGGTCACCTTTCYGGCTGGCGTCGCCGCYCTTCGTGTCGTTGATGTTCCCGGAGGAGGACCTGGACGGCCCGATAGGTTTCCAAAAGGGCGCGGTCGGTCCGGTCGAGGCGGGCGGACGGATCCTCGGCAAAGGCCGCCGCRACCAGCTTCTGGAGGACCAGAAAGCCCACCACGGCCACCGCGATGTACCAGACAGGGCGGCACATCCGCACAAAACTCTCCTCCTTCATCCGGTAGATCGATTCGCAGGCCTCTGGGTTCCGGACCCAGTGCTCGCGCTCCTCGTACTCGCTGCCGGTGGTGCCCAGGCCGGCGAAATAATAGCGCCGGTTCATCTGGACGCAGACGTCGATCAGGTCCCTCCCCTCCCAGCCCACGGCCGGGGGTCCGTATCGATAGATCTCCCGGGCCGGCCAGTCCAGGACGTCGGAGATCATCCGCCACATGGAAGGCAGGTCGCTGGGAATCCAGAATAGGGCCGAGGAAACGAGCAGCGTGACATCSTCGACGCGGCGACCTACAAACCGCCGGCAGTTGKTGAAATACCGGAGGATTTTCGGCACGACAAACACCGACAGCACGAGCCCGGCCACACCCAAGCCGATCGTCCGTTCGGTGGTTGCAAGCGACGAGAGGAACRAGGCATTCCACTCCTTCTCCGCAGCCGGAACCACSGGTGCGGGGGGCACYGGCTTTTCCACGCAAAACGTCCGGCGTTCGCCGTCCATCGGGTTCAGTGCGAGGATGCATTCCAGGGARTAGAAGACACCGTCGTGCCTTCCGAAGAGACCCACCAGGGTCCTGCCCCGACCGTCGTCACCSTCGTCCTCGCTGTACCCAAGAAARGATCYCTTTCGTTCCCTGGATGCGGCGGTTTGGGAGGGGCCAACAGATACAGATGCGGCCTGGACGATGCACCTTCCTAGGCGGTCGGCGTTCATTCCGGCGTCGATGTAGATGCTCGCCAGGGATTCTTCGGTTTCGTTGTCKCCGTCGCTTCCGTGAGCCATTCTGCTGCCCGGGATGGCGACCTTCAGTATCCACGGCAGGCGGAGATTCTTTTCCGTCCCGCGGCCGCTGGCCACTGCTGCTGCTTCCTCCGCTTCGTCCCCGTGGTCGTCCACAGCAYCGTCGTTCACCCATTCCTCGTCGTCGTCCTCGTTGTCTTCGTCGTATTCCCGCGGCGTAAATCGATCGAACGCAGCCCCGGGAKGCCCCACGGAAGCGGCAGCGGCTTCGGCCCAGTTCGTCTCCCCTTCCTCCGCCGGCGACGATCTCGTCCCCACCGGCATGGTGTGTCTCGAGTGCTGTCTCGAGTGCTGTCTCGCGACGGTGCAATGCGTTGCGTTGAATGGATCCTCGAAGGAAATGTGTTGTGCCGTACCGTACCGTACCGTCTCGTCCCGTTGGCGGAGGGTAGAAGTATTGTTGTTAGCGGTTTTGTTTGTGTTCGTGTTCGTGTTTGTTGTGTCCCGTCGCGGGTTTTTCTTCGAAGGTTTTGAGCAGCGGAGATGATGACGACGGTTGTGCCTCGGACCTAAGATACGTCTTTACTCGTACTGGTTTTACGTCTACAGAACTTCTAGAAGTACTACATAAAGCATCAAAGTCATTCTGACGAAACAGTACCAGCTACCGGTACGAGTTACGGGTACGTACTAGGTAGGACCTGTACGAACGGTATGGAAGGTATGTACGATACTTTTACGAGATCTCTCGTTTCGTTTGAGATCCACATCAGAGACGCCTCGCAGGTCATCGGCTCCAGGGCTCACTGTCGAACGCTCTTGCCCCCCCATCCCCGACACACATCATTACGTTACTCTAGTGCAAACTCGTACGGCACCAGACACAACCGTTGCAAAACGCCATTGTTGCCATCRRTTCTACCGTGGGCAGCACAATTTTCCCCCGGCGTCGGATAGCATCCCCYCTGACTAAGCAACCGCGCCGCCCCGTTCGTTCCATTGCGCTGCCTGGCCGCGGATCGAAGAGAAACCGTGTTCTGCGGGTGCCAGTTGTCTGTCCATTCCGTTCCAGTCCATCGACGAATGCTTCGGTYCTTGTTCTTGCTGGAAGCKGTGCGATTYTTGTTTTCGACCAACACACCAACGCTTGCAAGCGCCTTTGTCACGCGGCAATCGAATACCTGCATCGGACCAGCGACAGCWACAGCAACAACGACAGCGAAGACCCGTAGACGACCGGTGCTGTGGTCTGCCGCCGAGAACGAAGCACCGAGCACCCCGACGCCCTCCGCCATGGAGAATCCCGGGGTCGACACCGCCGAGGCGCTCTTCGAACGGCACTTTGGAAGCAGCGACTTTCCCTCCGACGCCACCCGGGCGATTGCCGTCGCACCGGGTCGGGTCAACCTCATCGGAGAACACACGGACTACACCGGTGGCTTTGTCCTTCCGTTTGCCATCGACTACTCTACCGTCGTCTACGGAAGGGGCAAGGTCACGATCGGCGACGGGAGCGCCCGCGAGCGCAGGGCGAAGCTCCGGTTTGTCAGCGCCCTGTCCCCCGATTCCGTGGAATCGCTGTGGTGCACGGAATCCTCCTCCCCCCCGGACACGACCGAGTGGACGAACTACGTGCTGGGAACGGTCTTCCAGTATCTCCCGGACCTTCCGCCGGGTGCCGAGGTCGGCCTGGAGTTTTCCATCGCCGGGGACGTCCCCCTCGGATCKGGGCTTTCCAGCAGCGCGTCGCTGGAGGTCKCCGTGGCCCGGTTTCTGGAGGCGGTCCTGGGAGACCACGCCTTCTCGTCGGAGGAGACGGCCGGGGGCTTTTCTCCCGCCAAGACGAGGGCCCTCCGCTGCCAGAAGGCGGAGAACGAGTGGTGCGATTCCCCCTGCGGMATCATGGACCAGGCCATCAGCAGCGCCGCGACCGCYGGGAACCTCTTGCTGATCGACTGCCAGACACTGGACTTTACGGCCACCAAGATGGCGGGCGAGTCCCTCACGCCCGGGGACCCCATGCCGGTGCTGGTGGTGGCGAACTCGAACGTCAAGCACAGCATCGGCGGCGGGGAATACCCGGTCCGGGTGGCCCAGTGCAAGGCGGCCACCGAGGCCCTGCAAAAGGTGAACCCCGAGATTGCGTTGCTGAGAGACGCCACCCCCGAAGACGTGGAGGCCGCYAGGGAAAGCATGGACGAGGTGAGCTACCTCCGGGCCAGGCACGTCTCCACCGAAAACGAGAGGACCCTCCGGGCCAGGGAGGAACTGGAGCGGGGCGACTGGGCCGAGGTCGGCGCGCTGATGACCGCCAGCCACGCGAGCATGAGGGACGACTACGCCGTCAGCTGCGACGAGGTCGACGCCCTGGTGGAGATCGCCCTGGCCTACCCGGGCGTCTAYGGGAGCCGGCTGACCGGRGGCGGCTTTGGGGGCTGCACGGTGACCCTGGTGGCCGAGGACCGCGCCGCGGGCCTGATGGAGCACCTCCGATCGGAATACGGGGCCAAGACCGGGATCGACTGTCCGTGTTTCGTGACCAGGCCGGCGAGGGGGGCCCACCTCTTGTCGGTCGTCGATCACCGGCCGCTGGTGCCGGAAGACAACTAACCAGCGGTCGGTCGGTCGGTCGGTCGCACAACACAACACAACAACGAGACGATGCCGATGCCGATGCCATTCGATGGTACCGTACGAGAACGAGGCACTGCGGTTTTGGTTGCGGCCGTTCTTCTTGCAGGGCGTGATACTCGCAACCTAGACGACGGCTCGATGATCCTCCACAATACTGTATTGGTATCGGCGGACTAGATTGAATAAATTCGTCCTCACAGCATGGCTGGATGGGATGTTGGAAGCATCGCATTTTAGTACTAGTATAATTATTGTTTGGTTCCATGTTCGTGCCACCGTGCCCATCTGGCACTGCTAGAAATACTGTTGCATTGCCATAATATTGTCCTAGTAGTTGCATACTAGTGAGGGGCAAAAGTAGGTTGCAATCGGCAGCGCAGTTTGTAGTAGAAGTACGAGTAGTACGTATGAAACTAGAATTACCACMAGGACAAACCGGTGTGCGTTGAACCCCCCCCCCAGCCAAGAAAGCGTTGAGTATGGTATTTGTTGTACATACCGTATCTTTCGTAGGTAGGGTGACAAAGCATTCCTGGCGATTGTTGGTACGTACAGTATGTAMTAGCAGTACTAGTACATACAGTACTGTTCTTTGCTACAGTATCATACGATGTGTAAAATACCTACCGTACGGTACGTACCGTAGGATCCAGGGCGAAAAAAAAGAACTGTTCCTCTGTTTTGCTCGCGGCAAAGAACAGACCAGAGAAGGATCGTGTCTCTGTTCCTCGTGACTGCTCCGGGAACGAAGAGAAACACATCACGAAGATTTAGGAAAGGATTAGGTGCAACTGCCGGTAACGATCGCCGGCTACGAGACCACCTGCCCGACGAACCAGAAACTATCTGATTGGTCGAGAGCTGAGCGATCCTGTTTSCTCCCCGTACGATGCGGTGCGGTGCCCGACGGAAGCTGTCAAGCAGACCAATCCGCTAGTGCAAAATTTGACTGTTCTTCGGCAGGCTGCTGGTGTTCGTAGCTACYKGTACGGTACACCGTAGAACACTCGTACAAAACTCGTAGCAAACCGCACGGTAGGGTATCATCATCGTCCTTGTCCCCGCTTGCTTYCGTTTCCTTGGTGGTTGACAGCTACCTTACACGTAAAGGTATCGTACTGAACAGGTGCAGGCAGTGCAGTGCATTAGTTCCCGAGGAAGCATCTTTTGTCGATAGTTCGTGAGTTCGTGAGTTCGTTCGTAGCACAGGACCAGGTACTGTACTGTATCCCATCCTTGGAAGTTTCTCGGCAGTCGGTGCTGTTCTCGCTAGCAACCCTCTTCAGAATAACTCTCGGGAGGAACCCCGCATCGCACCGCGGGACAAACACAAAGACAAACACAAAGATCGCCAGGCCAGGCCAGGCGAACCCAAACCCAAACCCAAAATCCATCGATCGACTCCAGGATTGACAGTCGACAGCGCTTCGGATCCATCAACAGAGTGAGTCTTGGAAGTGCAAAGCACTGCGTGAGACGACGGGATCGATCCGCAGGCAAACATACCCTACAGTAGAAGACAACCACACACGGAGTGTGAGCAGATCGAAAGGCGTGTTCTTTGCCACCCCGGCCGCTGAAAGGTTCCCCCGTCAGCACCAGCAGATCCCGGTGGCAGCAAACCCAACCATTTGATCCGATCCGATCCAATCCCATCCAATCCAAACCRAAGCAAATCAATTTAATTTAATCCAAACCAAACGGTTCGGCTCCAGCGAACAAGATGGCATCGTGCGCGGCGTGCACGGCGACCCGCTCCGCACTCCTGTCGTCGTCGTGCCGGGCCATCCACAGCAGGACGATAACTTCCTCCGCGTCGTCCTCGACGTCGTCYACCGCGGGTGCCGCCGCAGCGGCGGCCAAGGCACGGGGACCGCTGCGACCATCGCCGCCCTCCCCCGCCTCGGGATCGTGCCGGGCCCTCTCTTGCGCGGCCTCGATGCCGGCCTCGTCGGGTTCGATCTCGATCGTTCAACTCCACCCGGCCGCCTCTCTGCTGGCCCCCTGCCAGGGCGCAACCGCAAACGCAAAGGCCTCCGGGGGGACCCACCACCACTCGGGAGCACCGGGCTTTCTCCTGGCCTCGACGGCCGCCCTGCTGGCGGCGTCCTCGCTCAACATCGTTGCGGCCTCGACGCCCTCWCCCATAGGCGGCGCCACGGTGGCCACCACGACCACCGCTGCCCCCGTTTCCAAGCCCGCGGGCGACGGCGGGGGAGGCGGTGCCGGTGGTGGGGGAGGAGGCCCGTCGACCGATGCATCGGCCGTTCCGGCAGCGGTTGCCGTTTCGACGTCACGGGCAAAGGAGGATGTCCAGCGATACGAGGATGCTCTTGCAAAAGATCCCTATCAGGTAGGTTTGGTACAGTGCAGTGCAGTGCAGTGCTCTAGTTCGCATTCGAGTTTGGTGCTGTGATCTAATGTGGTGTGGTGTGGTGTGGTGTGTTGCCCGTGCCGTGCTTTGCTTTCACGACGCCATCGATCGATTTGGTTTGTCGGTGGTTGGCTTTTCTAACCTTGCTGTTCGTGCTTGCTTTTTGCTYGTTTCCAACCGCCGGCGTTCCGACCCAATGGTGCTTTCGCGGGARCAGGTGTCGAAGAGTGCCGAGCAAGGCGTTCGGTGGACCATGGAAGATACCTATACGGTTGCAAACGGGGGTCATTTCGCTGCCGTATTCGATGGCCACGGTGGGAGTGGCGTGAGCGGCATGCTCCGGGACCACGTCCACAGGCTTTACTCCAAGGCGTTGTACCAACGGCACGGGGAGGAAACCCAGAAATCGGCGCTCGATGGAATGCAGGTCGACGACGACGAGGACAGCGAGGACGCATCGCCGTCGGCTCCCTCGGTGCCATCGATAGATACCCACATCGCGTCGATCCGCGCCGCGCTCAARCGCATCGAGCGGGAAGCGATGCGGCACGACCACTTCGAGTACCAGGGGAGCACGGCGGTTTGCGTCCTGGTGAGCGTCGGCAAAGACGGAGAACGGACGCTCGTCTCGGCGAACGTCGGCGACAGCCGCGCGATCCTGTGCAGGGGCCGCAAGGCGGTCAATCTCACCAGGGACCACAAGCCCAGCGACGAGCGGGAAAAGGCCAGGATCCGATCGATGGGAGAAGACGTCCAATGGGATCCCTACGGAGAAATATATCGGGTGAAGGACCTCTCGCTGTCCAGGGCGATCGGAGACAGGTTCGCGAAACCGGTGGTCTCGAGCGAAGCGGAAATAGGCTGTGTGCCCGTGGAAGACGAGGACGAGTTTTTCGTAAGTCTCCTCTCGTGTTGTTTCATCCGCTGTGTGTCGGTGGACAGATATTGCGMCGCCATCGAAATTTGCAAACCTCACTCGCGCCTTTGTTACTATTCTTTCGTCTGTTCTTCCAATGACGTTCTCTCTTCGATTCGTGAGCTAGCTCCTCGCATCGGATGGTCTTTGGGATGTAATGACAAGCCAAGAAGTTGTTGATTTTGTTCACGAAATGCTGGAATGCCCTACCCAGAGCGTAAAAACAAAAAAAGGAAAAATTGTTTTGACCCCAGAATTCCGAAGAAGAAAAATGGCTAGATTTGTTGCACACGAGGCGCTAGAGAGAGGCTCGGCCGACAATGTCTGTGTCATCTTGGTTTGGCTTAAGAAAGAGAAAAAATAAATTGTCGATTCAAAACGAAACGAAAGAAAGTCCAATTATCTCTCGGTAGGCCTGATAGAGTTTCGCGAGATCRCAAATAATATAAACCTCGTACATTACATATTATCTCTATTTTTTTGGGGAGTATCCGCTAAAATACTACCGAAAGGCAAAGCAAATGAATCTTGCTTCCGTTTTTTAATCTTCGGCGATCTCAWTCTTTCGTCCAACTTGCTATTACTATCCCGTTTTCGAAGCACTGAACTCTTCTTGTCTTCCACCTGTTTTTTGTCTGCCAAGCCGATGTCGTTTCTGCTCCGACTGGATGACCAATTTATATTTCTAGGTGGTGTCAGTCTTGAAGCTASTCTTGAAGCTAGTCTCGGACTTCCATTGTCTTCAAGCCTTCTTCTTTCTGCTAATCCAAAGTCCTTTCTGCTTCTTCTGGATGGGGTCATTCTCTTTTTTGGTGGTGTTAACCTTGAAGCAGGCCTAGAACTTTCATCCTTTGAGCGACGAACAGGGCCTCGATCTTCGTGTGACCTCTTTCTTACCACCTGAGTTTTCGTCGTCCTCAATGGCATGAGCTTCGTCCTCATTTCTACCCAATTGTCCATCTGATCTGGATCTTTTTTCAATAGCTCACGCACATCGTCACTCAAAAGCGACTCATCAAAAAGCGTTTTCTCTTTGCTCTCCCACGATCGAAGTAAATTCACGAGCTGTTTGAGTTTCGCTAGAAATTTACTTCTCATYTGCTTTCTGAATCGTTCTTCCTTTAGCAGYGCTGCTCCCCCATTCTTTTTCGTGAGCAGCCTTTCTTTCGTACATTTGAGTTCCTCGAACTCCAACAATTTAGTATTCATTATACGAATTTCCGAATCAAGCGACAAGATTTGGCTCTTCATGTCTTGCTTTGACCTCAGCCTTTCGACTTCATTATTTATCCCCTCTAGTTTCTTCAATCGTTTCTCCAAAATTTGATTGAAATTTCTGGCATTTGAAGCAGCTTCAACCATCCATTCTTCATGTGAAGTAGAGAGCTTCTCTAAAGATATATGGTTCTTCTCGACTCCAATATTTGATKTTGATTCTTCCACTAACCCCCAGAATTTCTGTCGATCTTGTTGAGAGATTTTAAGCGCTTCCCATACAACTGTCAACGCCTCAGTTTCGGTTTGTGTCATTGCCTCAGTTCCCTCGATCAAAGCCTCTAATTCGGAAATACACGAAAGAATCAAGTCCTTAGAAAGAGGTGGCATCCGAAATAGAGCATCGTGAAATCCTGTATAAGCTTCACTAGCATCTATTTCTCTYCCAACTATGTCTAAAAGAGTCTTTTGGGCGTGCTCGATAACTGATTTCAGCGCTTCAGATATTGATCGTCGAGAGTCTGCCAAAGTTGATAGTGCTTTAGATATCAGCTCCAGGTATTGTGAATGATTCCCAGTTGACGAAGGGAACAATTCTGTCTGCTGTATATCTCGAAGGAGATTCTCTGCAAATTCCGAATCCCACCACTCTAGGTGTCGAGGCTCGTTCTCTTTCATCCAGCTGTCAACAAGCTGTRAAGACTGAACAGGATTCAAATGCATTCCTTCGATCAGCTCTTTAATTTGCTGTCCAAGTTCTCTGTCTCTTACTAGTTTTTCTGACTTGGCAACTCTCAACTCAGAGATGTGAYGTTCGCATCTCGTAAGGAAATCTGTTTCGATAGATTTAGCTGGAAGGATGTCCTCACTTGTCTCGATATCCTGAGCCTCTTGTAATTTTTTACACGATTTGTTACTTATCTCGTTCTCGTGTTGGAGYAACGTTTTCAAATCAGTATGAAGCTCTGCAGTGGATAAACCTAGTACTTCTGCCAGATCCATAACTGTTTCAACAATCTTCCGTCGTCGAGCAGCTGCAAAGCAATACGGCGTCTCTAACAAACTAATATCGCTCTTAAGACTAGTCAGCTTCTGAAGCAAAGGTACCMGTATTGGGGTTTCTTGTTCATCACTGGTTGACATCCCTAGGGCTGTTCTCATCATCTGCAGTCGAGATGACATATCGCTGATTTCCTGTTCTGTTGAATGCTTCATTATAACAGCATCATCAAGTATCTTGGCACACGTATCTTCAAAACAAAATTCAATCCTCTTTTGCTCGTGTTCGCGGAGTGAAGTTTCGACCCCAAGGTCTTCCCAGATACGTCGAAGTTGATGAATTGTCTCGCTYACTTCATTATTTCCTCCTACCTTTTTTAATGATACCTTAACCACGGCAAGATCTTCCTTTGCAACTGCCAACTCTACTTGAGTAGAACGCAATGAATCTTCAAGTCCACAAATYCTTTTCTTCGACTGTTCAAAAWTTTTCTGTGCCACTGACAGATCATCCATACACTTGTTTCTTTCATCTGTCAAACGTTCAATAGTGAGAGAGTGACCGTTTTCAGTTTCGTCCAATGCCTTTCTATCTCCCAAATCTTTCGAAAGTACTTTCACTTTGAAGTTTAGGGAATCAACTTCCGACTCAGCGCCGATCAAGGCTGCATCCTTCCGTTTCAGCAGTTCTGTGATATTTTGGCGTTCCGTCTGTGAGATTTGAGATAAAATAAAATGTGAGTCTTTAATAGCCAGAAGATGCCAATTCGAAAGAAAGCCCGAGGGTAGAAAACTTACTTCCGCTTCAACAAAMTTGGAGAAAGTTTCAAACAAGATTGATTGTAATGCTTTAGACGACAACCCTTTGACGAGTTTTGTGACTGCATGATCGATGTCTTTCTCTGATGAGCTTATGTTTTTGGGCATTTGCACAGAAAGGTCTTGTATTTCGGAGTCGATTAGTTCAAGCTTAAACTCCAAGTCGGCTATGTTTTCCTTTAGTTCTCTTAATGTCTCGGCTTTCTCAGTTGAGTCGCAATCGTTGCCGACCATTTCTGCACGTATCTCTTTCAACGYTTTAACTTCTGATACCACCTTCCTCATAGTTGCACTGTAGGTTGCGACCAAACCCTCATATTTATTTTTCAGACGGGCCTGCTTCACTTTGTCCAATACCATTCTATCAAAAAYATAATTTTTTGTCTTCATTTCTTCCTCGGTGAACTTTTGGTAACTTTCTTTCAACTTCGACTCTTTTCCACATGCTCTTTTCGACGACCGCTGCATGCTTGATACTTTATGATCTGCGGTGTCGCGCTGTCTTAGAGCGAGCAATTTAACTAAATGACTCTCGGTGTTTTTTAATTTGTCTGAAAGCTTGGCGCAATACTCTGTGCGCCTGCTAAGCGTCCTCTTCTGCAAAATTATCTCACTCTCAAGCTTCGACATTCTTTTGTCAGCGTTTTTCGCTTTTCGTTTCAAGACTAACAGCTCTTTTGTTTTTGCCTCCGTCGTTTTCCTATATCGAACGGCGTCTTCCTTTTGTTTCTTTTGTAGAGCCAGCTTGGCACATTTCAAATCGTGCACTTTTCGCTCTAATACCTTGCATTTTCGCTCTTGATCTTCTGCGTATCTCTTCTCYCGACGTGCTCGAGAGAGACTCATCTCAACCTTTTCAAGTTTCTTTTTAATTGCTGTTGAACATCCTTTAGTAGGATCAGTCGTAGCTCKATCTAGCTGTTTGGCTAGATTAGATTTTTCGTTCTCTAACTGTTGGACTTCTTCCATTAATTCTTCATATTTACCTTTCATTCCATGGTACACTTTCAAGCTATTTCGTAACTGGAGYAACAATGTTTCCTGCTTTTCTAACTCCCCATCCATCTCAATGAGTTTCATATCATCTTGCTTTTTCGATTTTTCGTACTCATGGTCGTGTTGTTGAAGTTCAAGTAAATAATCTAGAATCGCAATTTCTTCATCAGGATTGATGTCTTCTAGGATCGAATGATCAAATTTTTCGGATGAACCATTGTGACTCTTTGACTTTTGGTTTGCCATTRGGTCATTATGTCCTCCTCTATTCATGACAGAAAGATCCCTGGYGGTAGGGCTTTTTGAGGACACATCAARGATAAGAAGTGGGGGCGATCGCAGTGTCTTACTAGGGCTCATCATGGCGTCAGCTACGTCGTAAACTTGTTGCATATACGTCTCAACGTCTTCGCGCTTCAGAAGAGATTCGTCTATTTTGCCAATATCACTCGATGCAACCGATGCTCCACCGGCTGTAAAGCGCGACTTCACCAATTCCAATTGCAAGACACGATTGATATTCTGCAGRCGGTTAAGTTCAGCAGATGCCCCATCAACATTTTTTGTCGGCGCATTTCGAATATTTCGAGCGCGATTTGCATAGTTCAATGTAGATAAAGTTTCGCTTGCATTTGTGTGCGAAGGAGAAACGCATGCCAAGAACAGAGTCTGGCTATTTCCACCCAAGGCATCCTGAAGAAGACGAGTCAATTTTGACTGGCGGTAGGGCACGTGTACCTTTTTGTCTTTCTTGACCTGATCGTCATCAGCAAGTGCATTAATTACATTTCCAAGAGCCAATAGTCCTTCGTTGATTTTAATCCCCTCCCTTGCTCGTTCGCCCTCTGCTCCAGTTTTTTTCATTCGTTCGCTCCCTGCTAAGTCTACGAATGTAAATTGAGATGTGGTTGTCATGTCAGCACTATCACCTGAGTTACCACGCCTAGTCACCTGAGACATTTGTATGGTGAAAACTGCATGTGATCTACTTGAGGTGTGGTTCATWAGAGTGGCTGCGGTTGTTCGATTCATTGTACCTTCGTGAAGTACCTCTAAGGCTTCTGCTGTGGTTGAAATAGAGCGACTTGTCAACCCAACCACCACTATTCCGCCCTTTGAATCTTCTCGCAGTGGTAGAGAATTTCTAGTCGAATCGAGAAGATCATACACATCTTCGCCGTATACCTCCAAAAAGGAAGCTTTGAGAGTGTAGTCCAGAAGCACTGGACAGCCTTCAATGCATTTATCAGATTCGGCCTTTTTGCGTTGCATGTTCCCAAAAAAATCGGTGATGAATCTTGGAATCAATCCTGCTTGGGATGATTCTTCTGGTTCTATATGTGCTTCACTCCCCATGGTGAAAGTTTTCCCAGAACCTGTTTGGCCATATGCCATAATCTGAAAAAGTGATCACARCGTGAGAATACGAAAAATGATAACTTTATTTTATCCTCAGATGTRTTGTACTTTTGAAACCTACCGTTGCGTTGTATCCATCAATGAAGCTCGATAATAATGGAGCAGAGACGCTTTCGTAGAGGTCTTCCTGGCCGAAGTTTGAGTCGAATACAGCGTCGTATGTAAAGCTCCTTCGACCCATACGAATCATAGGAGAATCAATGTTCAGACTGCAATTCCCTCCCTGATTGATCTCCTGCAATGCTAGCGGACGAACCCGAACCCCAACCCGTACCCGAGATTCATTGTTGCGTTTCTTTGTTGTCGCCATTGTAGTAGATATGATGCGAATAATTTGAAGCTATGTTGAATGGCCTTTTTCTTCCCGCAGTGAATCGGCACGAGTACTGGAAGCTCTCGTGCTGMTGTATGACCTGGTCCCTGTTCCTTGTTTGCGATCCCTGTCGTATGGCACTCGTCAGGTCGCTGTTGGAGGGATTTCCAGTGGAAACATGGAAGGGGACAGAACTGGAAAAGGCAACGGTCAATAGTCGAATAGTTCGAAAGTATGATTGTTATTGTGATTTTAAATTCTGCGTGACTGGCGCGCTATCATAACGGCTTTCAGGGCCCTCCTGAATCCACACAACTATAGCGCCCGAAACCCCCCGTTTTGAATTTATCCCCCTAAAACGCTGAGGGAAAATGTTGGCAAAATTCATCAGAAAAATCCCTAAGCATGCTGTGCGAATGTATACATGCTCTTTAGTGTCGTATAACTACGTGTTTACAATAAAGAGTGAGCTTATTCACTATTCACTCGTGATTTAGGCTCACACCACCCCGCACTTGCAGAATCTAGATACTCGGATGAGTCAAATGTACCAGAATTCAGTAGATCACGTAGAGGATCTAGATTGCAAGTGGAGCAGAATGATCCAGTGTGTAGGAGGTCTACCTGTTGTACGGCGACCTTCTTAGTGGATATGGTGGATATTTCTGCTTTATCCTCACTAATTGAGGGTGTTTGGGTGGTTGACAAGCCCGTGGATGCATATAATGGTTGAATTCTTCCCATAAACACATCCGTGTGTTCAAGGAATTTAGTGCGTCCTGTGGGTTTACTCAAGGAGTCACTGTAATTTTCATCAGATCTCGTTTCCACAAAGTTGATATGTTCATCATCGGTCCATTGAAGGATGACAAAGTGTTTCATTTCTACATGCCGTGTTCTTCGTGTTGGTTGGTGTGCATTTGCCATACGGACAGCCCCATGATTATCAGCAATAATGGGGGTAGATTTAGTTTGTGCAAGATGGAGTTCCTCCAGTATCCATCAAAGGTACAGAGCTGCCTTTCCTGCATCGGCCATATTAGTAAATTCAGCCTCTGTAGAGCTCTGTGCTATTGTTGGTTGAAGCCTGGTTCTATAATAGACTGCAGCGCCAGCAAGCATCATAATAACACCCCCCATTGATCTTCTTTGGAGCCTATCTGATGCCCATGTGGTATCACATGCCCCGTGAACCTGAAGGGGGTCCATCGTCTGGAAGAACTTAGTCAGTCTCTCAATAGCTGTGTATGGAGTAGGGAGTGGATGATCTGGAAGATCCATCCGGGGCTCCGGTCTCCAGTATGTTAATCCTTCGCCTTTTGTAGCGAGGAGGTATAGAAAGAGGGCTTTAACAGCATCATAGTGAATTCTAGCGGGGGAGTGCGAGTGTTGACTGAGTGTAATAACTGCAATCGATATGTCCACACGGCATATGGTAAGTGCATATATCAGTTCACCAATGCATTGTCTGTAATTAAAGCCTGCTGATTGTTGCAGCTTTAGTGCATCAAATGGGTCAGTCGGTCCTTCCATAAGCTGTATATTCTTTTGGTAGGACGAGTCCTCTTTCATCGGTGTAGGTTTGTTATGTGTGGATCGATTATTAGTTGCCCATCCATGGTGACCACAAATCTTTTCAATATAAGTACTGCAATGGAGATGGTTAAAGTGTCGTGTTTGATTAACATGGATGCCATTGAATTTCCGAATGGTTCCAAGTATATTGAGGGGATTAGTCATGCGGTCTTGAATAAGGCCTCAGATAGTATCACAGACCTTTTCATCAGCATTGGCTATAAGGAAATCATCCACTTGTCTCAGTATGAGAGTGAGCCCATCATGATCATGTTTATAATAGAGACAGGGTTCATGAGTGGTCGGTTTAAATCCAAGGTCTTTAATAAGGATTTGGGAGATATACTTATCCCATAAGCGAGGGGATTCAGGGTGTCCCTGAAGAGCTTTCTTGATGGGGATAACCTGACCATACGGAATAGGTTCCTTTTGTAGGCATTCAGTCCACCATTGTTGAGAGGGTTGATCCACACTCATGTGGTAGAATGGTGATTTCGGTGCTGGAGCTTCCGCGAAGGCGTTTCCTACATCATAGCCCACACAGATTAGGTTTAATGCAGCTGTGAGTGCCCATGTGAGGCGATGAATGGGTTGTTCAACACAGGCTGCATATGTTTCAGCCAGTGTAACCGCCTTTCCATATCTCTTTCCCCCATTGCATGTCCCTCGAGATTTTGGTTCAGTCTGTCCTGTTAATGGGTTCTCCTTCTCAATGTATGTCCATACCCAGGGGAGGATCGTCATGTCCTTAGTTGCAGGGACTGGATCATCAAACATTCCTACCTTATGGTATCTGTTAAGTTGTTTCCATTCAGACTGTAGGAATCCGTCCCATTGTGGTGTTTTCATTAGGTTACAGCGTGCAAGCTTGGAGACCTGAAGTTGTTCCTGGACAGTCTCAGGGGCATCTATGGGTGTGGGCCAATCCTGTTTATTGGGCCAAAGGTCTTGTTGGTGGGCAATTACATTCAGCTGATCAGCTTGAAGTGTTGGAATACCCTCACCGTTAAGTGCGAAGCCAGTAAGGGTGCCAAAAGCAAACTTAATGGAGGTCCTGTGTGTGTTTTTAGCATGTTGGATAGCGTTGATAATGTCCTGTCGACAGGTGATAGGCTTATCATCCACAGCGGTAATAATGGTACCACGGAGGCGCCGTTTCCAGCCCCTGATACGTGAGTGGGCCACAGTGCCTACTTGAATTGAAGCAAGCTCCACGGCGTCCCGTATATCTGGGTGAGAGCCCACAATGAATCCCATGGTTGGATGAAAGGTGTTAGTGTGCTTGAGGGGGATTGTATACAAAATTTCCTTCGTATATATATTGGTGGATATATCCAAGGCCTCTAATTCCGGGATCAACATGGAGAGGTCTGGTCTTTTGAATTTAGTGCGGTGAATACGGGCCTCTAGCTTAGCTGCCGCTGCGGTTGTATAGGCCTGGGGAGCATCCGCAATAATTTCCTGGATGAGGTTGTCGGGGCTGCGTTGTCAAGGGTCCTTAAAGTGTAATTCCACTTTAGGAGGGGTTGTGTTAGTGCTGTGGTCGCTGTTGAGGCCTTCAGTGAATGTTTCTAGGAGGTGTTTTGCAGCCGGTGATTGATTGGAGGGGTCATCCCCATACTGCAGTTCATCCTTGGAATCGTGCCGGGCAATTTTGTCAGTGCCCGTATGAATATCAAAGTATTTAATGTTATCTGTAGTGGGACCATATCCCAGGAATATCCCATCATATGCCCATGGATTGGTTGTAGTAGGGCGTGTTCCTGGTTTCTTAGCTGTAATCTTGGATCCAAAGGTGATGAGGTTGTCGACCAGGGGAATTTGCCCAGTATACATTTGTAGTGGTGTCATACCGATAGAGCTATGGTAGGTTCGATTATACAGCCACGTGGCATGGAGGAGTGCATCTGTCCAGTACTCGGTGCCCAGGCCTGCTGCATATAGGAGACATCTGATACATTCCTTGAGGGTGCGGTGTGGTCTTTCAGCCATGCCATTTTGGGAGGAAGTATCCGCAGCTGTAGTGAGCGGCGTGTAGCCATGTTGATCAATAGTCGCGCAGAACTGTGTGGAGTTAGCAAGTTCTCCTCCCCCATCTGTCATGACTGTACAGTTTAGATGTTGGGGTAGGAGATGGCTGAAGTATGTTTCATCTTTCGGAGAGAGTGAATAGGCATGATCCCTGAGGGTGTCGGAGAAGGCTCGTGAGCGTGCTAAGTAACCATCATTCGTGGTGGTAACAATGGCCTTTCGAGGGTCAGTTTTCTGAATTCCGTGTTTAGTGAGGAACTGGTCAATGATCTTCAGAGGAGGTTCCTTGGTCTTGATTGGGAAAGTCCATAATGCTCTTGTTGCGGCATCAATGATGGTGAGGAAGCCGATGTGGCCCTTTCTGCTCTTCTTAAGAGTGGCGAGGGCCTTTTCTTGTTTGTGTAGGACATTTTGGAGGTTGGTTGGTCCGCTCACGAAAGAGAGATCCATATGAAGAGATTGCATAGGGATGAATCGGTCCGTGTGGTGAGTCGTGTGTTTTCTGCCGTGGTATTTAGTCATTTTGCTCTTTTCACAGAATGGGCATTTGAAGAACGGCGTGTTGGAAGGGATAGGTGGCATGCCTTCCACTACCTTTTGTGTCTTCACAAGAGTATCGGGGGATATGTGACCATATCGTTGGTGCCATAGTTCCAGATTCTTTAGTGCTTTGGAAAGGCCTGTTGACCACGTCTTAGTTTGGGGAGTACAAGCGTCGTTAGTTGTGTTCTCCGTCAATCTACGTACCTGGTTGACAGTGGACCGATACCGTTGCAGCTCCTGTGCGATATGTTCGTTCTCGAGTTCATTATGGACTAGGATGTTGTTTGTGGAGTACCAAAGGCCATTGTCCCTAACAGTTTGGATGGATTCAATAGTGCTGTTAAGCTTATTTATGAATCGTATCAGTCCTTTGCTGTCAAGGCGTCCTTCTTGTTGAAACGCGTAGAAGTTACGTGTTTGTTGGTAGTGATCTGGTGATATCACCGTTCCCGTTGAATTTGGTGTATACAGCGTGTGCCAGTTCATTATGTGTCCCTGATCTGAGATAATTTTCATATATCCCTCTCCATGTGCCTGGAAGGTGTGTGCAAGTGTGTCATCTTCAGAGAATACTCCAACTGGTTCCGGGACCGGAAACGGGGTATAATCATGGAGTAGGTTCCGTTGGTTGGTAGCTGATATGTTTGCGCCTGTGTCCGTTTGCAGTTGGGCTTGTGTGTTCCCATTCAATGATTTGATGGCGTGTGCTGAATGTTTAGTGGTCACCTGTATGTGGTGGCGTATGTTGCGGCGATGAGTGTGGTGTGACATGCGTATAGCCGGTCGGTTAGTGTTGTACTCCAATGCAAGGGAGTCATTATACAAGGCAAACGGTGTAAGGTCATTTCCACGGGGATAGTAGACAGTAGTAGGAGATGGCTCAGCTGGTGTCGTTGATGAGTGATACTGTTGGTCGCATTCTGTGATAGTTGGTGGCGTACAGTGTACACAACTGGTAGGGATCCTGGTGTCATCCAATGTATACGTGAGTGGTCCC